TATGAAATTCACCCAAAATGCCAACTTTCACTATTAGGCGCCGAAACGCTCCCGGGTTATCCAAAACCCGACCCGAGCATATGCACAAGTCCGAAATCATCATACGAACCTATTGGAACCGTCAAATCCTATTTCGAGGTCGTTTACTCAAAATATTGACCGAAGTCAAACTTAGCCTTTTAAGCCAACCTTACGAAACCAATTGTTCCGATTTCAATACGAACCCTTCCAAATCCCGAGCTAAACATCCCCGCAAGTCATAAAATAGTAAAAGCACGTATGAGAAGTCTTATTTAGGGGAACAAGGTTCTAGAAAGTAAAACGACCGGTCGGGTCGTTATACAAATACCTCCTCAAGACTTTCAACACTTGTGGGCATTCTGAAGTCCATGAGAAGTCATTCTTCTTATTTAATAGTGAAAAGAAATGGTGACATTTCTCCGATGACCTTGATATGAATCTGTTAAGGGATGCCAACATATCGGTCAACCTTTGCACCTCCTTTATACTTTTTCCATTGATCATGTATCTTCTAAGGCCTTAATCTTCTCAGAATTTACTTTAATTCCTCTCTGAGAAACCAAGAAGCCAAGAAATTTCCAAGACCCAACTCTAAATGCGCACTTCTCTGGACTGAGCTTTATGTTGTACTTCTTCAAGATGTCGAATATTTCTTGAAGATAGGCCAAATGATCCCCTGCACTAAGAGACTTAACTAACATGTCATCAATATAAACTTCCATAATTTTACAAATTTGACGTTCAAATGTCTTATTAATGAGTCTCTAATAAGTGGCTCCGATATTTTAAATCCCAAAAGGCATCGCATTGTAACAATATGTACTAAAATTTATAATAAATAAAGTTTTTTCTTGATCCTCCAGGTGCATCCTAATTTGATTATACCCAGAGTATGCGTCAAGAAAGTTCATCAACATATGTCCAGTCGTAGCATCGATCGTTTGGTTGATGTTTGGCAATGAAAAGGAATCATTAGGGCAAGCCTTATTTAAATCCTTATAGTTTATACACATTCTGAACTTATTATTCTTTTTGGGTACAACTACTACGTTAGCTAACCAATCAAGATAACTTTCTTCCCGTATTGAACCTATATTTAGGAACCTGGTAATCTCTTCTTTTACAATATGTTCCAGATTTTGGCTATCAGCTGTTTTTCTACTTTATCGAAGGGAAATTAGGGTCCAAACTTAACTTGTGGGCAACCACTTTTAGTGGAACACCTGCTATATAAAAATGAGACCATACAAAATAATCAATGTTAGATTTAAGAAATTCAATAATTCTAAGCCTGAGTTCAGGGCTCAACCTCGTTCCCAAGTAAACCTTCCTTTCCAAGAATTCTATGAACAAAACTATTTGTTCAAGCTCTTTAGCGGTTGACTTTATTACATCCATTTTTCCAATATCTGAAAATATCTAGGCACCTAGTAAATATCCTATATCTCTTCCTCTCCATCGTCTTCTGCCGGTACCAGAGGGGAAGTCGACACTGGTTCATGTAGTTGCTATTTGTTGATTGCCTCCGCCTTGTTGCTAGATACAGTGACATCATTCATTTTCCTTGCGGCAATTTGATTACCTCTAATATGCTTAATCCTATCTGGTGTAGGAAACTTCCACTCTTGATGGTAAGTTGATGTCACAGCCTTCATTTCGTGGATCCATAGCTTACCAAGAATCATATTGTAGCCCATATCGCCATCCAAATCATCAAACAAGGTGAATTTCGCCACCCCCTCGGCATATGTAGGCAACACGGTCTCTCTTTAGGTCGTTATGCTTGTTAAGTTGAACCCAACCAGAAGCTTTGTCCCCGAAACAATATTTTTGGTTAGCTTTGCTTGTTCCAAAACCCTCAATCGGATGATATTGGCTGAACTACTTGGATCAACCAACACACATTTAATCTTAAAATCTAAAATATTTAAAGATATTATCAGAGCATCATTGTGCGGTAAAATAAGGTCGTCAGCATCTTCCTCTGTGAAGGTGATTTCATCATCTTTTGATGCTTCTCGAATCCTCTTGCCATGAGTCACTGATATATTCATTTTTTTCACTATCAAAAATGTCACCCGATTTACTTCAACCCCATCAAAAATCACGTTTATTGTTAGGAGGGGAGACCCTGGAGTTGGTTTTGCCGATTATGTTGCATCTCGACTGCTCATGTAGTTGTTCTTAGCCCGATTGCTTAAAAATTCCCTAAGGTGACCACTTTTCAACAGCATTGCTACCTCTTCACGAAGGTGCCGACAGTCCCCAATCCTACGACCATATGTACTGTGAAACTCGTACCACCAAAATTAGGATCTCTTTGAATGAGGTCTGATCGAATTGGTTTCGAAAACTTTGTCTCTTTGATATCTCTTATAGCCTAGACCAACTCCACCAAACTGATGATGAAATTATAATCTGATAATCGGGGATATCCTGAATTCCGGGACCCCGATAGTTCTTTATCCTGCAAAGTTCTATTACTCCGATCATGATCTATCCTTTTATCTGGTTTGAATCTTTCTGATGACTGAAAACCTTTAGCTCCACGCTCATCAGATCATTTATTTGATAAATAAGGTTGAAAATGATTCTTGGATGATCTCCGGTCCACATCAAGATCATTTTTGAAATTTTCTTGATTTCGATCGCTATTACGACCCTTAGATGACACTGAAGAACCCAACTGATCATCCTCAAATCTAATTTTCGATTCATAATGATTATGGACATCAACCCATGTGGTTTCCTGAAATTCCAGTAGACTTTCCTTCAACTTCCTTGAAACATCGGAGCTTAAGGGATTGATATCTTTGGTGAATGCTTTTGCTGTTCACTCATCTGGTACTACCGGCAATAGCATCCTCTTCTTTTGGAACCGGATTATGAACTCCCGCAATAATTCAAAATCTCCTTGAGCGATTCTAAATATATCCGCCTTCTTGGCTTGGATTTTCCTTGCCCCAACATAAGTTTTGATAAAAGAATCTGCAAGCATTTCAAAAGAATTGAATGTTCAGGTAAAAGTGAATTCTAAGTTAAAGCTCCTTTTGTTGGGGTTTTGCCAAATTTCTGTAGCAAAATACATTCGATCTCATGAGGAGCTAAATCATTTCCCTTTACAGCTTCCGTATAGGTTGTGATGCACTCATGTGGATCCGATGTTCCATCGTATTTTGGAACATCCGATATCTTTAACCTTTTTAGAATCAACTCCGGAGATGCACTAGGTTTGAACGGCAACTGAGTATATTTGTTTGAGTCCGGGCCCTTTAGGACCGAAGGTGCCCCCGGGATATGATCCATTCGAGCGTGAAATTCCTTAGCATTTTGAACCATACGATCGTTTATTTTCCTCATGCACCTCATGAGCTCGATTTTTAAAGGATCATTTGTGTTGTTTTCATTCCTGGATCAGCTGCCTGCACCACCTGCTTGGTTATAGTTAGATCTGAACTCCCCCTTGAAGAGAAGTTACGGGTTCTTTGCGCTGTCTGATTTACAGGCATGCTATGAGGGGATCGAACTCCTCCATTGGAATTATTTGAGGCAACTGATAGTGCTTCCTCGAGCTCAGTCATTATCCGGTCCTGTCTCGAGAGATGTTTCATAATTGCCCTTTGTTGAGCTCTCAAAACTTTGACCGTCTCGACAACGGGTTCATCATCCATATCATCAGGGGTAGGAATCCTTGCACGCCAAGTATTTCGTTCTTCCTGGACCAGAGTTGTCTCGTTTTTATCGATGCGATTCTCACTGATCGAATCATCCTGTTGAACTCCACTACAAAAATTATCCTCATGCTCATTGTTTGTCCCAACATTGAGTGAGTTGTTGATATCATTAGGTGCCTTATCTGTTTTTACCTTTACCAAAGAAAAATTTCAAAGCACATTAGTAAAAGATGAATGGATCAAAGTAATATCACAATTGTCTATGTCCCACGATAGGCACCAAACTATTTACACGTAAAATAATACAGTTGAATTTGTAACGTGGTTTATAGACACATGAATTAAATTGATTCGAGAATATAAAGTAACGAGGAACAAAATAAAATAAAATAAGAATAGTTGAATAAAAGACAAGTCTGGGCCTTGAAATTAAACTTCTCCCGAAACAAGAACAATATCCAGAGCTAAATTCAAGAAGAATAATGTTTAGCAAAATAAGAGAGTAATATTTGCCTTTTTTCATATAAGTATTTTGTCTCTTTCAATGAGTACAAATTTCTCTATTTATAGTTAATTAGGGGAGACAAGATCCCCAAATTAAACTCCTCTTTAAAGGGAATAAAGACCCCGCTTGATAGCTGCATAACAGTTAAGTATAAATGCTAGGATTCTCTGTAATGGTTGCTCATTTAATGTTGCCTTCTTCAACTGGTACCTTTGCTTTCAAATTCTCCTCTCCGAGTTTAGTGTCTTCAGAACTCATACAACATCGGTCACATGCTTGTATCCGGTGTCAACTACTTGCTGATTCATATCCTACATGTCTTTACCGCCATGTGTCAACTCAGCGAACATCCATCTGCCATTCGTTAATTCTACCTCATACACCCCTCTCAGTCATCAATCAATCTAAAATAACATTATATAGTTATATAGTTTAAATGTTAGCATTAGATTTGCATGAATTCGTATGGATGGACTAACAATGTACATTGCAATTAATGGGTTGTTAAATATAATAAACTGGATATTAGAGGGACCTAAAGCAAAATTTATTGAGAACTAGGGGACTTTTACTATAGTGCTCCCAATGTTAGTTCTTTCTAGCCCATTATTAATAAATCAAGTTCTAATTAATCACAGCACCTGTATTACTTTACTACTATATAGAAATGTGAGTTGGGGTGGGACGAGCATGTTGTTTTACTAGATTCCATGTGAATAGTATCGTGTAGTTGGCCATTTCATTAAATGAGTATATGGTTGTTTGTTTATTATATCCTTGACTTACACCATCTAATTAATTTTATTTTGTAGGGTAAATTGGTGATTGAGTTTCTTCATCCTATTCATCTCTAAACACGTGTATTCCACTTTCAATTTATATTTTTTTACTGCCACACTCCAATAGTCCATTCTAGAAACTATTCTGATCATCATCCTTCAATTTGATCTCTTTGAGATGTTTTAATTTGGTTCCAAGTTTTCTCGGCTAATTTCTCTATTTCTCAATTAGTTTGAGTTTTCTGCTTTCTTTTCTTTGTTTAATCACCACTGCTTCTTACATGACTCACTTCTTAGTTTTACTGTTTTTATATAGCCCTCCATTGAATCTATGGGTTCTGGTAAGGATTTTTACTCTTTTTCTTTTTGCTGCAAGATTTATAGTAATTGCAACAGTCTCTATTTTGAGCCCTAAATCCCTCCTTAAGATGTTAATGGAAACTTGTGCAATTTGTGTCCCCTCGGAGGGCATCCGATTGAAAAGAATATAACTTGTGAAATTGGTTAGTTTGGGAACAAGGTGTGGGTCTACTGTGTTTTCTGATATAGTAAGTTTTTTTCAATTCTTTCTTTGATTTTTGCCTTTGTTTCTTGGTAATAAGAATTTGGTGGATATTTGTTAGTTTTTCTAGATTCTCTTGCATAGGTTCTTGCTGGATTTTGTATATGCATGTCACTACTGTTTCTTATTTACAGATGCATGTTTGTATATAGATGTCTAGGTGCATGTTTGAGATACATAATTGTTTCTAATTTTAATTGAGTAAGATTGGTACTTTCAACTGGAGCCCAAGCTCCGTTCTTGAAGCAGTGTCATTGGATTTTACCATCGCTCTCTTGGCATGATTATTCTTTTTCTATATTTTTTATGAAGTAAACAAAGATATTGATGCAATGGCATTGGAAAAGATAAGGTTACCCGTTTGTTGCATTTGATTTGGTTTTCTTTCCCATTATCAGATCTTTCAGTTCAATTGGCTTCCAGTTACCGATGCCTATAAGCACTGAGCACAATCATCCTCTATTGTTAACTATGTCTCTATTTCTTGGCCATTAGACATTCTCTTCTAATGATCACCCTATCTGTTTTGCATGGTTTTTGGTTTTTCTTTAGCTCTACTACTCTTTCCAATAAGCTTCAACTTGCCTCATTTTCTTTTGGCCTACTGCTTGGTTGATTCACTGAGTCTGCACATGCATGCTCTTATAGTTGACCATTTTTTTGTGAATTTTATTTTAGTGATTTTTTCATGTAACATGAGAGACAACATTGCAATGATTAAATTATATACATGTTACATATGTTTTCTTTATATGACACAGAATACGTGTTTGGAGAAAAGTCACTGTTAGAAAGTCAAGCTTTCTTTGTAAGGTTCAAGAGTAAAATCTCAGCTTTGTATACTTTCTAAGTTTAAAGATTGAGCTTTCAGGTTGCTTACATTTCCCAAGGATGACAGCTAATTTGTATACGCATCCAAGTTCAAAGGCTACAACTATCCTGCAGGAGTTCAAAGACCTTGAGGTCAAATTAAATGAATCATGACATAATGGATTTTCAGGTGCTTTCTATTACGTTTAACACTTTTTTGTTTTGTTCATTTAACACAAAAACATTCGGTAAACAGAAATCATCTTTTTCTGTATGCGCAGCCTCCATAGAGATCACTCTCATGGAAATCAACAAGAATCAACTGAACACATTTCTCAATCCATCAACTGAAAATGGTAATTCAAGAAGTCTATTTTGCAAGCTTACAATTTAGTATATATAATACATTTTGGGTAGCTTATAGACTTTGTTTCTATGACTTATCTTCAAGACTTCCTAACTTAGATTGCGCACATCCTTAAATCTTAGCCTTCTCCGGTTTAAAGTTTCGAGCTGATGTTAAATTTAAGTATTTATGCTAACACAATTTGAGTTCTATTTTCGTCTGTTTTGATATACAATGAAGTAGTTATGTCTATATGTGTCTGAGACCAAATGCAAAAAGATTTCAAGAAATATTATAGACATTGCAAAACAGAAAGACTTAATCGTTCAATGGCCGTGACTATGTCCTATCATAGATTGAGAAAGATAAATTTACTCTTTTTCATCAAATGAATTGTCTCAATGCAAAATCAAGTAAATTTGCATCTAATGTTGTTGAATCGTTGATAATGTGGATTGGAAAAATGATGACAATTTAAAATTACAAAACTGTAACTTCATTGCAATCTTAAGGAGGCCAGACAAACGAAACAAGCTCTCTTACCATGGCTATGGCCTCTCACTTTTAAATTCATTCTTTTGCACTTCACATGTTATTTAGAAAATGGTATACCCTGCTTCTTGTTGAGGCTTTGCCTGCAAAGCTACTCAGTAATGGAAAGGAGAGAAATATCATGCAAAATTAATTTTTTGTAGTGGAGAAGGAAAATGGTGACTTTGTACCACTGTTGCTGCCTTTCTTCTTGCTGCTCCGTGTTTATAGTTTCTGCCTTTGTATGAATAATGAACTAAAAACGTTTTATTAATTGTTATATTATAATTTTATATTTCGTATATAAACTGTCATGGCAATGTAACTACTCCCTGCGTCCCAATTTATGTGACACCATTTGTATTTCGAGAGTCATACGAGTTTTACTTTGATCATGATTTTCTCATATGCCTTTTAAATATTTTAAATTACTAATTATATTATTGTGACTTATAGTACACTTTACGTAGTTTCCAAATATATAAATGCATTTCAAAATATTTAAAGATTCTACGTCCGAATTCATGGTCAAGACTCTCGAAATTTGAACCACGCCACATAAATTGGGGGAGAGAGTATATTTTTTTTAGTTGAATGGAGCTATATTAACTGCAACTCTACAAATTTTCCAGTCAAATATGTTAATATTGAACTTTTTGGCTCAACTTTGAGCTATTTTAAATCAGTTTTCGACTCGATCTGTTGAACTATTTTAGTGTTGGGCCCGTGCAGAGCACGGACATCCTCTTACTAGTTATGAATAAACAGGACTAATTTTCAAGACTAAAGTAAAAAAGAAATTTGGTGTTGCCTACAGTTAGTTCCATTAGATACAGTTTATTCAAGAATTCAGCGTACTTCCTAACTACTTGATCTGTGTCAAACAAAGCTTTAGTTGTCTTTGTTAAGCGACATGAATTATTTGAACCTAATTACGTTGTATTGATCCAATACTTCTATCTATATTAACCACCACCAAGTCAAATACTTCATTTCCTACTTTAGTCTAGTTACAATAAGCAAAATTCTGACATATAAATTTCTAAAGCATCACCTTTTTTGGACTATTTCGTCTAGTTTAATAGTGGAATGAACGATTATCAAATGTCAAATATCATCACAACTCAATTTGTGTACGTGTTTGGGTCTGAGGTTGTGAAGGTTACAAAGAGTCGCTTCTTACTTCAAATTCCTATTTGTTTGCTTTGCATTATTTTCAAGCGTTGCTGGCTTATATTCAAGCAAAATATTTTCAAATTAATAAGCGTCTTGTTTTCACTTCTTATAATTTTTTAGAAAGAAAATTTTTTACATGTAAATTTAGGGAAATGTTCCGGCAAAATAGTGTTACATAAAAACACTGTGAGTGAACTTTAGTTAAATTCTTGTATGGATCATGTACGGATCATAATCAATAAAAAATATAATTGATCATAACCTACAATAATATAATTTTGAGATAATCATAATGTCTTCTAATAGTAAGACAAATTAATGTGTTTAAGTACTAAAGAGATCAGGATCACAGAATATCAACAATAGAATTGAATTAAAACACATATGGTGACCATTTAAATAATTTTGGCTTGTACAGTTGAACCATATTATTAAGCAAAAAATTTAATCTAAATGAACATCTAATCTTCATTATTGGTCATTGCATCGCAGCTAGTGGCCTGCCACCATAAGAATAATGTTCGTTTAATTTTTTTTATTGTCATTTAAGTATTAATTAATAAAACCAAAAAAGAAAGTTATTTCCAATCATTTGTCGCTAAATCAACCAAAGGTTCTCCGATAACAGCTTGTTTGCATGGTTGTTATGTATCGTTTCAAAATGTATCGTATCGTACTGTATTGTATTGTACTGTATCGTTTGATAAATATAATGTTTAGATAGATTGTATCATTTGCCATCGTTTCATGATATCACACACTAGCAATATGAAGAATAAACTTACAATATTATAAAGAAAAATTATGATAGAAGAAAATTATTATATAAAAAAGTAGGGTAAATAATAAAATAAAATAATTTAATAATAATGAAGGATGAGATTGAAATAAAAAGATAAGGTAACGACGCGACCACACCAAATCACTCATTACATAAGTGGCACATTTCGTCGTTATGTAACGATGTAATTAACGATACGATACAATAAAATTTAAGTAACAATCAAAACAAACATCGTATTTAAAGTAGCAATACGATACAATACAATGGGTAACAACCGTCCAAAGAAGCTGTAAAGGCACAGATTGCATTCATAGTGGAATGCACATTTACTTGAACAATATATATATNGAGCAACGCAGATAGGTAGTGTGAATGGGAAGAGCAAGGTGTAAACATTTAGATGTTATCGGACTTAAATACATAAAATAATTTAGACCATATTAAATTCAAGACATTAGTCCAAACAAATATTGTGGCTAGTAAATTAGGCTAATTACTTAAATCCAATATATATGTGTTGGGCTAGTCCATTTGATTGGACTACAAATTAAATGATAAGCCCTCTTTATTAGCCCAAGGTCCAAATGGCTATTAGCCCATCTTAATGCTCAGGCTTATGCCACATGTCAACTGATGTGACAATCCAAGTCAAAAGAATGAGCCAATAAAATCATGCCACGTGTCAAGTGATGTGGGAATCCAAGTCAAATAAATGAGCCAATAAAATCATGCCATGTGTCAAGAAAGGGTGGCATACTAAGTCAAATCAATAACCAATAGAGTTGCGCCAAATGTCTAGATGGTATTGGTCAGTTCAAATGGACAAATCATATCGCAGAGCCACACCACTCCCAACAACTATAAATAGAGGTTTTCATAAAGCTAAAAGATACCGGAATTGAGAACAAGAAGCAAGCGGAGAGCTCATGGATCAAAGATTGCAGTTTTCTCTATAAGCTACAAGTTCAAACACTCAAGCTACAAGTTCAAGATCAAGAACGAAGGCAAATCAAATACCAAGACGTTTGTCACGACCCAAAACTCAACATGCCGTGATGACGCCTATCATGGAACTAGGCAAGCCTAAAATCATAGTAAAACTAGTCATTTATATATTAAAAATAAGATGAAACAAGTTTAACAATAATAACTCTCATAATTAGCCGACATGAACAACTGCGACTCGAATACAACTATCCCAAAATCCAGGTGTCACTAAGTACATGAGCATCTATATAATAACGTAGACTGAAACACTATCTAAGAAGGTAGAACAGTATAAGTAAAACTGAGAAATAGAGGAGGAGAGTCAAGGTCTACGAACGCTAAGCAGCTACCTCGTTAATCTTCGAATGGGTAATAAATCCAAGATCAACAATCACCGTGCCCCGAAATACCTGGATCTGCACACAAAGTGCAGAGTGTAGCATGAGTACAACCAATTCAATAAGTAACAAGTCTAACCTTTGGGCTGGAAGCAGTGACGAGCTCAACCAATATAGTACAAATACAGAGTTTAATAGTACAGAAATGACAGGAAATAGGACAATGATATATCCAAGAAAACCCATAATCTATTTGTACACAGTACAAGAAATGTAGACATGCTTCCAGGTTTAACAGTTAAGTTCAATACAGATAAAATATGCCAAGTGTGACTGATATGAAGAATATGACATCTCTATATCTATATGCCAATATGAATACCATATGTGATGCAACCCAATAAAAACCTCACGTACTCACACTCTCAGAGCACTCAATCTGACTGTCTCAATTCTCGCTCGTCACACTCAGTCACTCAGCATTGTACGGTGCCAGCTGCGGTGTGCAACCCGATTCCATTAATAATAATAAAGCATATAAGGCATGTTGCGACGTACAACTCGATCCACATATAGCCATAAGGCCCGTTGAGGTGTGCAACCCTATCCACATATAGTCATAAGGTATGGTGCCGCATGCAACCCAATCCACATATAGGCATAAAGCATGTTGCGGTGTTGTCACGACCCTAAATCTACATAGTCGTGATGGTACCTAACCTAACCCGTCAGGTAAGCCAATTAATCACTATCCAACTTAATGAGATTTATTAAGATAAGAAATAATTATACACCGCTTTTATACAAAAAAAAATTCCAAGGACTGGTAGTACAAATCATGAGCTTCTAATATTAGAATTTACAAAGCTGATATGAAATAAATACATCATCTGTTTGAAAAGTACATAAACAGATTTTTTATAAATCTAAGGCTACCATGAACAAGAGGCAATTACGACCGCAACACAGGTACATCTTCAAATCCAACTCCCGTTGATCACAACATGCCGTAGGGTCCATTGTTTGAAATGGTGTAAAGTGATAAGCAGTTTGTCCAAATACCTTTGCATCCTACCTTCTCGGATTTCGAAGGTTTTGTTTACTTGACTCACCACCAGCAAAGAGTCACAATGCGCCTCAATGACTTCTGCTCCCAAACTTCTGGCTAGTTCGAGACCTGCAATCATGGCTTCATACTCGGCCTCGTTGTTAGTTAACCTGATAGTTTTAATAGCTTGCCTAATAATGTTACCCGTGGGGGGTTTCAAAACTATGCCTAACCCGGACCCCTTTATATTCGAATCACCGTCCGTAAAAAGGATCCATACCCCGGACGATATACCTGATTTCAAAAGGAGTTCCTTTTCAACTTCGGATGTGAGGGTTGGCGTGAAGTCGGCCACAAAGTCTACTAAAATTTGAGACTTGATGGCCGTACGGGGTTGATATTGGATATCGTAACCACTGAGTTCGATGGCCCATTTGGCCAATCGGCCTGATAGTTCGGGCCTATGTAAAATATTACGGAGTGGGTAGGTAGTTAATACGCTTATGGGGTGACATTGAAAGTACGGCCTTAACTTTCTAGATGCACTTACTAGCGCAGGTGCCAATTTTTCTAAGTGCGGATACCTAGTTTCCGCTTCTCCTAAGGTTCGACTTACGTAATAAACGGGAAATTGCGTACCTTGCTCTTTTCGAACTAGGACACTGCTTACGGTGACTTCCGATACCGCCAAGTACAAGTATAGTTTTTCGTCGATTTTTGGAGTGTGAAGTAGTGGTGGGCTCGATAGATATCATTTCAATTCCTGTAACGCTTGTTGGCATTCCGGTGTCCAAGCGAAGTCGTTCTTCTTTTTGAGTAGGGAGAAAAATTTGTGACTTCGATCTGATGATCTTGAAATGAACCGGCCTAAGGCTGCAATTCTTCCCGTTAACCTTTGTACAGCTTTCACGCTGTCCACGATGGTGATGTCTTCGATGGCCTTGATTTTGTCGGGGTTGATCTCAATTC